CTACCAGTCCTTTATCATCTTAAACGAAATAGGGTGAATACATCTCATATTACTGATTTACTGGTAGTCTTTAAACTATACTTACATACTAAAAATAATTAAGGTAGTTGATTGTTATAGCAAAAATACGTTTGCCATGTGGCAATGTGGCCGAGTGGTTAACGTGTCAAGCTCAAATTCTGCACTGTCACAGTTCGACTCCCACTGGAGGTGTTGATAAGACATATGAGAGGTCAAAACTGCAGTCCACCCTGTCTTAGAACAACTTTTGGGAGAGCAAGGCAATGTGAAATTCAATGGAAACGTCAGCTCTGCTCATATCATTGTGGTAAAATTCTACTACAAGTCCTTCATCATCTTAAACGAAATAGGGTAAATACATCTTATGATACTTATTCAGACAATTAAGAAAGTGTTAAATTAATTGGCCAGCAACTACCCTTTATTAAGTAATATTTTGTTTTCCAAGATTCCGGTTTAAGAGGCTATTGGTTCTCTAGCACTTCAAAGGAGAGACATGGGAGTTTGGAGGGGATAAATCTAAGCAAAAAGTCAGTTTTAATAGTACTTTCTCTACCAATTAGTTGCACATACTTTGTTTTTTACTAGTAGGTTTTACGATATGTGACCTTTGGTTTTGTAGCCATTTTACATAATTTTTCGTTATTCGTGTCCTCAGGGTGACTTCTAGGAAGATATCCCGTACTTGAATGTCTTTGCCTTTAAGCAGTGTACCATTGAGTGAGTATATTTCCGGGCGTTGAGCATGACGTCGGAGTCAGCATTGTCCGGACGAAGCACCGTCCTTAGGTCCGATCCTGTTTAGTTCCCAATATGACTAAGTGTTACGCAACAAAATGGAAGGAGTCCTTCATACGGAGTTTAGAAATAATTGTGATATTTCGAAGGAAAAGTTGGTCGAAAGATATTATTAAAGTGGTCTCAGCAAACCGACTGTTGTATTGTGCAAGGAAGTCCTCGGATCATGGTACTGTCACCCCGATGAGCCTTTGCTAAACTTTTGCCTGTACTGTGACATATATAATCAGAGCAATAATCTATACTTTACGAAATGGTGTAAAAATGTACTAACTCAAGAGAAAAGGTAGACGGCTGCAACCATGGTCATTTTTTATAAACCTAACCTTGCTATTTAAGAAGGCTGGCTACCTCTTGCTCTGATGATGTCTGTCACAGTACAGACGAAAGCTTGGTCCAGGTTCATCCCGGTCGCAGGAGGGTGAGCCGAGAACTGCTTCGAACAATCCAACGGCCTCTACTCTGCGACACTCCTCCTGATTTCGGTGAGACTATTTCACGAATTCCTTTAAGCCAACTTTATCTTCGAACTGGAAAGTCATGTTACAATATATCACTAATAAATTCTTCGAAACCTAGCTTTTCTTCATATCTTTGTTAAAGTTAATTGTTCGTAAGGATGCAGGGAGGATGGTAGGATATTTTTTATGTAAGTTTTGTAATTAATATTAAGGGAATATGAAACCCTACTCAAATACGAAAATAATATTGAGGGTACCACCTATTTTCCATTCTCTTTCTCTCCCTCACATACACGCACGCGCAACGAACACTCTTCTTGAGCTGTGACGAAAACGCCACCCAGCCCCATCAGCTCTCTTCTTCCAGCCTTCGCTTGTTATTAATTTACCCCTCGGAATAGTTACACTTTGATGCGATTGATTAATCGATATTTGAGTAAGCTCATAGTATCATGCAACGGCAAACGACGTAGTCAAGCCTCTTCTTCCCAACCATCTGTTGGCTATGTCTGCTTTTCCTATGTGCGGTTCCTGGTTTTCGAAGTTTTCTCTTTACCAGGCCTTTCTTGAACTCCCAAAAAGGCCATTCTACTTCCATGTTATCTACCAACCTGTGCATACATTTGTTCGAATCTGACTAATTCTATTGTTGCTTCCTTCTCACTCATCTGTCACCCTCTTCACTCAGCCTTATATGTTTCCCTTCCTCTGTTGGGACGGTGAGAAAGAAGGCTTGCTTCAGCTCGACTTTGATCTGCCCGGCGACGTCCAGTTGATAGCTCGTTTGGAGGCCATAATCACACCCGTCGAGGACCTGGCCGCCTCCATCAAGACATCAGACAAACTCGACGTCATGTCGGCCCGTACCAGACGCCTTCCTCGACGTTGCAACCATCGCCATTGGCGCTATTGCCATAGCCGCTGTCTCTGCCGACGCAGTTGCAATGGAAAGCGATGGTCAGAGACTCTCAAGAAGCAGGGCTTTACGAAGCTGGCGGCCTGCTACGCGACGTCACAGGCTCGTGTTCGAGAGGCCCGAAAGCACTCGGGACGTTCCACTTGGCGTCAAGTTGGAGGACTAACCAAGAACTCGATAAGACGACGTCTCAACGTACGAGACCCATCGGAAGTGGTGGCACGGCCCACCAATCCGATCGTAACTCGGTATCCTCCCGGACCCTTTTTGGATCCTACTCTGCCAACCAGACGGAGGCTGTCCAGCCGGCCCTTTCGAAAACCGCAGGTCATCTGCCCCGGGAACCGTAGAATCTACAAGCGCTGGTACAAGTTGGCCACTCAAAAACGGCCTAAAGGCAGGGCCTTAAGTTTGGCGCAACTGAACAGCAGAGCGGCCAAGTGGGCAGCTTCTGAGACAAATAGCTGTGCCAGTCTCTTCAAACAGACCCGAGTATCGCAATCATGTCCCTCATTCACTGGCAAATATTCGCCCTGGGGGGACGCAAAATCGTCGCCCAACCGCATCAGATCCTCTTCACTCTCCTCTTCATCCCGTTCCTCTTCCCTCTCCTCCTCCTCCTTCTCCTCCTCCTCCTCCTTCCCTTTTTCCTCCT